GGGACTTGGGTGGAAGTTGACTGTCGGGCTTCATGAATTGGAATGCTAATTATACTGGAGACCCAAACGGAAGAGAACATGGAAAACGAAGTGGAACCTGAGAGGTCAGGGGCTTAGTGAACCAGAGGATTTTGGAACTTCAAAACTATTGACTGTATAGAAATCATATGAAAGTCACAGGGTCCTGTTTGCAAGGGTTGAGGTAAGCCAAATCTCCTGATAAGTTGAAAGCGGGAGGTGAAAAATCCAGTTCTGCCAGACCTACCTGCCCTAAATTACCGAACCCCAAAACCTGAAACCAAAACTCCCAACCTCTTTCCAACGAGACCCTTAATCCTTGAACCTTGAAGCCTCAGCACCTGGATCCCAAAACTCCAGAACCCCTGCAGCCGCAAACGGACTGCCTTGCCCAGACCCCTGAGAGGATCTAGAAAGTAAACCCACCCACAAATATGGTACCCCATACTATTGGGTAGTTTCTATGAGCCCGTTAGGGGGATCTACTTGCTAGATCCGCCCAGGGGTCTAGTTCACTTGCTGGGAAAGGCGCCCGCGCGCGCCGCCCCCGCCGAAGCAGACGCCGATGCCCTGACCCGCAAGCAAGCGGGCACACCTTCCAGGACTTCCGTGTGTTTTGGGGGTTGGAGTTTACGGTGTAAGGAGGATGGAAGGAAAATGTCAACAATCTTGGGGGCGTTTTGGGTTCGGGGTTATTGGTGCTTAAGGGCAGTCGAACATCAAAATGGACACGCCTCTTATGGAAAATATAATGGAAAAGAAAATCAAAATGGGGTGGAAGCAGCTGCGAGTATGTAGGGGATTAGGTTGAGTGGAAGAGCCAAGGATGTGGTGGTCTGCCAGGGTGCATCGCAAAGGTTTGCAAGACTATAGCCTATTGTTCTGTAATGGTATAACTTCCAACTTCTTTCCAGTATCCCCAAAAAAACTGGGAATTTCCAAACATGAGGGTCACCCGATATACCCCTATCTAATACTATGATCCCTATTACATGGGCCAGCAGAAAAAACGACCCCTCCCAGGAAAAAAATGTGCACCCCAAATGTCCCTATGAACCGCTATATATGATGATGCAACCCCTCAAGCCCCTACACCCTAAACTGCGCAAGAGTGTTATTCTCCAGTAAGCATCCACGTCGCTGTGCCTGGCCCAGTCCACGGCATCTCCTTGGCCCAAGCGAACATGATGCCATCTCCTGGAAGCATGGGTTTTCGGCTTTAGGGGTAAGGGTTTAGGTCTTAGGCTTTAGGGTTTGAATGGTCTTTGGTATGCAGCAATATACATACACACATAGATAGATAGATAGATAGATAGATAGATGGTGGATGGATGGATGGATGGATATATGTATACACATACAGACAGATAGTGATAGGTATATGGGGCTTAGGCGATAGGTCGGGATCAAAAGGGATGTAAGCTTTCAGGCTATATTTGAGCGGTGGCTTTTTTTGGTAGGTGTTAGGAGGTAAATAGGGGGGGGGGGTGAAAGGATGTGATAAGGCCCAAGGCTATATTTCAACAGATTTGAATGTTTTTTGGTGGGGCTCTGGGGCATATCCCGAGTAATTGAGAATCAGATGGAAAAGGGAATAAGAACTGAATTGGGAACTGGAACTTTATGGGAAGGTGCAGCGTTATGTTTGTACTGCTTTATGCTGGTTGGACCGAGTAGCACAATCACCTTCTTATACCAACAACCGTATTCACTAAAAGGATGATGTAATCTAACTCGATATTGGGTCATAGTATCCACTATGACTATGAAAAACACTACCCGCATGGTGGTTTCCCAAACTTAGGGTCCGTGTTTTGTGGGAGTCCTTGGGTGAGCGAGCGGCATCCCAGGGTGGGGGTCTGTGGCGCCATGCCTACGGCGCTCCCGGCCTTCTCTGAAGGCTCCACAAACTCGATTGCCTGGGGTAGGGTAAATGCTGGGAGGGGGCGCCTCAGTCATCACTCAACCATGGCCAGGGCCCAGACATCCCCCAAACAATACAGATTCAACCAGTATTTCCTCAGAGTGGGAAGGCGATACCCAAACCTGGTCGCAGTATTTTGGAGGTTTGAATCGGAAACTCAGGTTTGTGTTCTATGTGCACGCAAAACACAACATAGAGCGATGATTGTAGGGGGAGTAAAGTTTCTGACTCGCAGCTAGGTCGAGGAACCCAACTAGGATTGAAACCCTGGGCCCCTAGCATGGGCCCTTGTCCCTGGGATCCTTCTAACCTTAGGACCTAGGACAAGCAGCAAGCCTTCATATGTACTACAGTCTACACTCCTAGCATCCCCATTAGTAACCCCCTATAATACTCCCCTATATCATCCCTATGGCTCATACGAGCGTCTTGCTGGAAACCTTCTGATGGCTACTTTTCCCCGTCAGGTTTCTTCGACTGCAAGAACTCCAACCACACTGGTACGCCTTGTAAGCCAAACGCACAAGCCCATTGGTTGGTCTTCAATCTTGCAAGCAGCATTCTCCCAGCAAGCTTTTGATCTTCGTGAGTATGTGCAAAAATGCGAGCACTGAAACTTGCCCTTCAGAAGTGGAGATCTCACAGATCCTTCATCCGTGAGAAAGTGAGATTCTTGCTAGGCCGTGCGCTCAGTCAGAAAAATGCCCCACAGGTTCCAAAATGCCTCAAAGATCATCCCAGCCCTGTTTTTACGCTTTCTCCATGTGGATGTCCTTTCTTTCAGAAGGAGAAAAATTTATCATCTGAGCCGTCCTCGCCCACGGCCGAGGGTTCAGATAGTGCCGCGTCGACCTGTCGAGATGCTGAGGAAATTGGAGATGCCCAGTACTAGTACTCGTCCCACTACTACGTTCAGGGTTCGTCGTAATAACTAGTACTATAGGACGTACTAGGACGAGTTCTAGTGCGAGGACAGAAAACCCCAAACCTCTCAACAATCACAAGCTCAACGCCAAAAACCTCAAAACCCTAAAGTGCAAACTCAAAACTGCAAATCGCGGCCTCAAAGCACCTCCGCCGCGCCGCGGGGCAAAGAGGTGGTGGCGCACGAAGCCTGTCCCGGGCAGATGCGAGGAGTTTAGAGCCTTAGGACTTCATGCTTGGAAATTAGGGCCTAGAGTGAAGGAGGTTTAGGGTCCTGGGCTTGTAGCGCAGTTGAACAGTTTAGTTGGCAGTTTGTGAGGGGCCGTGTTGAATATCGACACCTGATTTGGGATCTCTACGCTCATCCTTGTGCAGGGAGGGGGTTCATCAAAGAGGGTCTCCACAGTAGGACTACTAGTCCGTGTCAAGTACCCAGATGCAGGATCCAGATGATATTTGGACTTACAGGTGCTCACAGGAGAGCCTAGTGTTACCATTACTATCCTAAAAGAATTTCCATGGTTGTGCTTCCATTTACTCCCCACTCCCCCTTAAGCATCAGTGAGAGCCCTGATTTAGAAACACGAAGCGGGCCAATGAAGAAGATCCACACAGTGCCCTGGCATCATGTGGATACACCCTGGAACTTACACCCTAAAGCGAATTCCTACAAACCCTAAACCCTAAATCCTAAATCACCAAGCCAGCCTATCTCCAAAAACTCAAACCTTAACCAGAAGCCTTAAGTCCTACGTTTAGTAGCTTCCATTTTCTTTTCCATTGCTCCAGCCTAACCTTTCAATTCGTAGGGAATGGAAGAATTGATTTCTACAATAGACCCTACATATCCCCAATGATATACGTGTTTCCATGTCAATTTCCCTTTGCATTCCCCAATCCCGAAGCCCTGAATAATGATTTCCATCTTCTTCTCAAACTCTAAATGAACCATAGTCTAAACTCCTCGTATCCTTAATAAGCCCTAGAAAACTCCCCTATATAATCCAAATATAACCCCCTTCGGGAGTTTACGTTATAGCACAAATGGTAGCCTCCACATTTTTTCCTTACCCGGCTCTCATGTTAACAGCCAGCAAAGAAAACCCTAAGTTCAGAAAACTGCCCAGTCCTCCCCCCATGTTCCATGTCGTTTCCCACTTGAGCTATAACCTAAACTCCTTAGCATCCCCCTTCATAACCTAATAGTAATCCCCTAAATAATCCCCTGGATAACACTCCTTTCAGGAGTTTGTTTAGACTATAGCTCATTTGATTCTGCACAGTACTTCTGGCCTGTCACTCCGGGGCGCAGGGAGTCTGCACGGGCAGCCGCATCTACGAACCAATCGTCCATAGAGGCAAGCTTGGACACTTTGCCTGAAGTTGAGGAAGAGACAGCCGCATACAAACTATGAATTGGTGCAGGGCTTACAAGTGACTTGCTGGTTGTAGTAGGGCACCAAGGGAAAGAGACTAACTAGAAACTACTACAGCGTTGGGGACTAACATCAGTAAAGAGGTTGACAATTGAGGGATTTACTGTAGGTCCTGGGCAGTTCTAGGTAAAACACCCATGCATCTCTCATCACAGGATCAGAGGCCTGAGGTCCAGGATTTCAGAGTTGAAGGCATGAGGATTTAGGATTGACAGTTTTGAGGACAGACTCTGCTAGACATGTGATTATTGTGAGGACACTGGCAAGGCTGACGGCTTCAAAACAAGGTTTTGGGTAACTCAAACATGAAGATCCCAGACTTTTCCTCGCCCTCCCCAACAAAAGACGCAGGTGATAGGCACCTTTTAGGTGGACCCCCACCCTGTAATCGTGGCATAGTAGGTATATAAGCTAACCCTAATATTATCACCATGATGCCTTATAGTCACTATTACAGGGTTGGGGGTCCACCTAAGGCACCTCACACGTGCCATGGCCATTACCGGGAGTACATGAAAGTAAACCGAGAATCCGGGGAAACCATCACATGATCCCTAGGCCCTCAACTGAAGCCTAAGACAGAAATCCTGACTATGAATCCTGATGCCCCATCCCATCCCCTATATACGCCCGAAACTCCAAGCCCAAAACTCTAAACCCTAAACCCTACCGCAACACACAAGTCTTGCCGCAGCTACCGCTTTTACCCTGGGCTCCCTTGTGGAGGAGGAGCAGCTCCCGGGTGACATACAACCTGGACTGAGGCAAGGAGGTTCCTGGGTTTAGGGATGTGAGTGTTGGGTTTCCGGGTTGAATTTAGGGTGGGGCTTTGGGTTTAGGGCTTCGGGTAAGTGGGGCAATGCTGGAATAGATAGGGGACAGAACAGGGTATATCGAGTGAAGGCTTTCCACTGAAGATCCAACGACCTGTCCAAGCATGGAATTTCTGTGAGATCCCTTCGTTCTAAACGATTAGGCTACACAACACTTAAAAGCCCGGGTCCACTTCCTCCTTTGGGGCCTTTGGGGGTTTGGGGTGGTTCTAGAGAATCATTCCGGAGTTTGAATGATTTGGTCCAAAAACTTGTCAGGATGGAATCCGTCCATACCTGAGTCAGGATGTATCTTCGGTCGAACTTTATCTTTCTCCTGTTTTGCTCTCAATGAACATCAGAATCCATAAGCCTGTGCAAAGGGAACCTTCCTCCATCTTAAGATTCTTCGTCTTCTGAATTGAATGAGCAGTCCCAGATGATGGACAAATTACGTGCTACTTCAGCGCCGTTAACTCAAACCTCCTACTGCATGATTTCGGGTACCACAAGCCCTTAGGCTCGTTGTGTCTTTCTGGGAACCAAGCCCTATATCCCCCATTCCTAAACGCTGAAATCTTAAATCCAAAGCCCTTAATCATACATCCTGGCGCCTCAGCCCTCGTCCCTAAACCCTCGTACCCACGTTCTCTAACCGAGCAGCGGCGCAGCCTTGTGAACATACTGCTCATTCCGCGTCCTGAGATTCAGATTTAGATTTTTGCTTATGGGACCGCTTCTTCATAGGCTGAAGATTTTTAGGCTTGGCCCCGAGCCTGTTTCGTGGCCTCTGAAAGCCCTACATTAAGCATAATCCCACTCTATTTTCTAGCACCCTTAAGGGCCAGGCATTGTGAGAAACCGCCTAGGTGTGACAGATAATTAGTTGTGACTATTCTGCAGCAATTCTACCTAAAGATATTCACAGACCTAAGCGAAAGCTGTGAAAACCAAGGGCACAAGGTTGTAAAAAATTGGCTTTCTTGGGTTTAGGTCTTTGAGGTCCTGCACTTGCTGAGTTTAAGGTTTCAGGGCTTCCTGGCTTTAGAAGGCAAGGTTAGAACTCAACCCTGAACTTTGCTAGCAATATTGATGTGAAAAGCCCTCCATGTTGTCATACTTGGGTTTATGCACAGCTTTCAAAATGTCAGCCGTACTTCCGCTGAGGGTCTGTGCGACCTCCCCGCGGCCCTGTCCGTTGAAGTTGGTAGCCACGAGGATGTGATCCGCCTGCATGTTAGGATCTGGGGGGTCTCTCACAATGAGGGTACCTTGAGATGCTAAGTATATATTATGGCGATGACCACACAAAATCGTTGGTGGGATGAAAAATGGTATGTCATTTATCTGACTCGGTGAGTGCAGAGTTGCTTCCGACTGCCCATGGCAACTATGACCCTCTGAACAGAATTACGGGGGCACTAGGAAGGTGATTTAGGTGCCAGGTTTGGGATGCTTTGGGGGTCGGGAGCTTGTTGAGTGGCTCATTCATAGCTGCAACAGGCTGTACATGATGGGTGATGGGAATTATCGCTGCCTGTTCCGTCGAGAATTGCTGGGTACAGTGACCATCCCAAAACCTAGCGATCGGCGTTCCGCTCAGGCCTACATTGCCCCAAACTAATATGGAACCCCATGTAGGATTTGTTTTGACCACACAACGCTTCCGGGCCCATCAATCAAAACGCTGGCATCGCACAAGCGCAAAAGGCGAATGCGGGATGCTATGACTGTCAGGCGCAATGGAAACCATCACGAACTACGGGCTTGAAGTCGCAAATGCGTGTGAAGGCATGTGCGTTCCTTCTCTTTGATGCCACTGCTTTCCGGCAATCCCAAACACGGAGCGTGCCAAAAATTGTGATTTAGCGAAGACGGTTTCGCACATGGCCTGATGCTGGCGGACGCCACGCATGAGTTCTATGTAATTCCACTCAAGATGATGAAGCAACCATGGCTGCATAGCAGGACCAACAAACGAGACCGCCTTGGAAACACATTTGCTGCCTCAGAGAACGTTTTTTCTGCAACGTTCGCCATGCCGTCTTGCTCAATGCACGCCCCAATTGGAGGCCCAGATACGTGGCAGGACGAGCAGCAGGACAGTTGAGGTCAGCTCCACAAGCGCCGTGGGGCCCAAGGCAGAGGTAAGCAGCAGGTATTGTTTGCCAAGCTGGTCAGTTGTCAGCTCACATGAAGAGCAGAAAAGTTGTCATTTGCAACCCAGCATAAAGCTAATCCACAACAACATTGCAACACACGCTTCAACCTCTCTATGAAATGCTGCAGTGGACGCCGCCTGCATGTCTCCATCTTCACGTACATCTTTCGTCTTCATCACCACCATCATCATACTCATCACGATTTTGCCTTTTCTTATTCAAAGTTGTTGCAACGGTGATGACGCGGCCTGCATATCTTCATCGCTGACGTCATTGACTAACATCGCAAAACTTCCAATGCACCTTTCACAAGCTCTTCTTACCTAGTTGCTTGAATGATTTGCATATGATTTAAGGGTATATCATATGATGAAGATGCAAGGCTGTTGTTCGGGCGGAAATGCGGATTTTTTTCAAGCTTTCGCACTAACTTCCTACAACAGCTGGAGCTGCAAGTCCCTGACCAATGCGCGCCTGCCGCACACACCGGCGAGTCCAGTCCTCAGTTGAAGGCTTCCGACAATAACGGGTTTGGAATTTAGGGGTTGGGATTTAGGCGTCAAGGTTTGGGTCAGGGTTTAGGGAAATCCTCGCGGTATGTATTGCAACGGGACTATGCGGGTCGATATTGGGACTCAGGCATGCAAGGACAATTTTTGCAAACTCCCAGTACGAAGTTTCATGAGCAGACCGCGGTTGAAGGTTTAAGGTTGCGCTGTGGGTTGAGGATGTGGCACATCGGCTTGAATGCGGGTTGTCTAAAACACGGTCCTCCTTTGCATTCCTGTTATGGTACGGCCTCTGAACGTTGGGCTGCCCCAAAGCAAGCGTTATCTTCACAACTTCCTTGTTAAGGTTGAGGCGTTGAGAGTTTAAGCCTCGGTTTGGGGGTATGGGGTTTACGCAAGTATGTTGCGCAAAGTTAGGGGGAACCATATGCTGTGGTTATAATGAAGAATTTCTATTTGTTTTTGGCTTTAAAAATCTAATGCCAGGGTGGGGCCCACGGAAGTCACAAAGACTGTATATAGAATAATATACATATTTTGAACGTGTAATTCACGACAGATGTCTACCACTTAAGTAACACTACAAGGGGTCCGGTCTGGAACCTGTCGATGATCTAGGTGCCGCTCTTACCTCTGACCCGAGCCGCCGGAAAAGTTCAGGGAATAAACCTTCGTGTAGCGCGGCTTGAGGAGAGCGCTTCTTTGTGGGCTTCGGATTCAACCGGAAGAGCCGGAGTCACGATGGGCACCGCCTCTGGATCAAGCCACCACACTGCTCGCACCTTGTATTGCGCTGGCCGACGATGGTGGTGTCGCTGCTTTTGCTGATGTCCACCTCGTCCCCTTCCACATCCTGCCAAGTACCCCCATACTGGACTTTTCCTCGGATGTCACATACTGCGCCCAAGCTGCATCCAAATTAATGGAGATGCGCTCAACAGGCTTGTCGTCCATGTCCAAAACCAAATCAAAAGATTGGCATGGGAAATTAGCCACTACACAATACAAGGCGGCCGCTTGGTGGTTCAGCGAAGTAACCCATGCCCCTGCCCCCGTGAAGATTGGGCGGAAGTCATGGGGAGGACATACTTGTGACACTTCAAGGGACATGTAGCCACCTCTTGTGAGGCCCAGGCTGGCGTCCGACTACATCATCATCATCATCATCATCCCCCCTTCTGGCGAATCCCTCGTTGATGTCCGCAGTCTCCATTGGAGTGTTGGCAGAGCTACCACCAGGGATCAGCCTCATGTACCGAATTTGGAAGCCACCCTAGCCATCTAGCAAGTGCTGCAAAGCACGCGAACCTACGCGGATGTGCTTCTGCAGATCGATGTCCCAGGCCCTCCTGTGCACCATCCTGAGAATTGCTTGGGTTTTGACCCTGGTGCTGTCAACGAACTTGAACCTCTCTGTTCTGCACAATGGGAATAATGAAGAGCTTCATATTGTAAGGGGTCAAGCACTCTAGCAGCCACCTTTCATGCCCAGAGGATCTGGTGAGTCAGCAAACACTAGCCTCTGTGGTGCATGATCACATCAAGCAACTGGCGCCTTTTTTGCGAGAATCCTCTATCTCATCTCCCGCAAGAAGGTCGCCCACCTTGACTGCCCCTGGCTCTTTTTGAACGATTAGAGGCTTTTCAAGAGATTGGAGCTTCATGCCGTCGGTGTTAACAATGCCCTCCAGTGTGATAGCGTCATCGAGATTTGGCCTCATCAATGGATTGGGCGAGGCAGATCGGACGACCGGGAACTTCACTGGCCATGCTGTAGCGAAAGAATGGTCGAGCAGAGTGCCAGGACTCGGTTTCAAGATAAATGTTGCTGCGTGTGCGGATGCAGATTTTTCCTGGTGCGCGTCGATAAGTTGACATGGAGGCGAAACGCCTTCCCAGGCAGGTGGATCTTGGGGCTGGGGCGATCACATAATTATCTGCTGCATGGACCTTCAGGCATAACGTGACGGTCTCTTATTCTGTCGTAATAATTCTTATTGTCTAAACATGAAATTCACCGAAGGCTCTTGATGCAATGACCTCAAGTGAACCACCCCAGAACTACCAACAACCTTAAGATACACTTTCTGCGCGAGGGCTAAGCCAACATGTGTGAAATAAACCCTATGAATGGTATTTCAACCTGGCGGGTTTAAGTGTTTTTGTCAATGTTTCTGCAGGTACTAGAAGGAGCTGGATGGACGGTCTTCCGCAGAGTTTCTGCACTGCGTTCCAGGTACCGCCCCATGCATCGCAATGACTACCTTTATTTGCCTTGTCCCGCTTGCAACGTACTGCTTTCGGCTGCAGTGGTATGGTTCCAATCTACTGTAGTAGTCTCCATTTTACTTTTCATTATCCCTATATCATCCCTATGTAGCGCTATAGCCCCAACATAACCCTGCGTTTGCCGACGCTCCCCTTGGACCGTGAGGTTGGTCATGCTCGCAAGGGACAGAATGGACCGCGCCAGCTGCCATTTGTCAAAATTATGGTCGTTTTTTTGGTCCCCATTATAATACGGGGCCTCATTTAGGGGAACCAAAAAGGGACCATAATTTTGACAATCTCCCATTTGGATCTTGCCAGGTATGGTCCCTGCCATGATCTTGCACCTCATGTCGAAGTAGCTTAACATCGCCGACCTCCTTGTCTCAGAATTTGTAGGGTTTAGGGTGTAGAGCTTTTGGTAGTGCTCATGTTGAAGAACCTGATGGTATGGGAGAAGAGGCAAGCTATTTCTTGGAACCAATGACTGCATTATCCAGCACACAGAAACCCAAAGTAACAAACGCCCTAAGCCCCTGGTAACCTCCAAACCCTGAACGCTGAAGGCTTCCTCCAGTACCCGCCCCTCCTAAATCAGCCCCCGCAAAATATGAGCCAGGCAGCTGTCACGCTGTTACCGTTTGGAGCCTCTGCCTGGCATTGCGTGCTTCAGGTGCCACACTGGAACTGTCGTGTATGGGACCCTTGTTGCAGGCAACTTTTAGGTATAAGTGCAATCTTTGTTTGCAGGTTGTTATAAGGTGGAGGCCGTATGAGAGGTTGAAGTCTAGAGGTCAACGCTTGAGGCTCCAGGGCTTAGAACTCGGGGTTTTGGCGGATTCAGGGTTTGAGGTGTGGAGCGCAGAATTTGGGGTTAGGCTTCAGGGGTACTTCATACACAGTGCAGGAATGGCATTGATCAAGGACGGGCTTCAAGGGTTCCCAAACCCTTAACCTACAGGATAGTAGGATCCCTGGCATCATCCCTATTAAATACCTCATTGCACTATAGTAGTTTCCATTTTCTTTTCCATTATCCCTATATTCCTTATTATAACTAGGGCCAACATTGCCCTGCGATGGCTTGAAGTTGTTGTCGTTGGCAATGGTGCTTGGTGGAGTGGGTGCTGGCTGCGGTGGTGCGGGTAGTGGTAGCAGCAATTGGAGGGGACTCAGGGATCCTTTGAAGGCTCTTAGTGGGAAGCCCCATGTACAAAATCAACTTGATTCCCTCATTAACGCACAATGCCTTCCAGCAGTGCTGGATATTCCTAGTCATGTAGCATTTGTA